TAACATAAGAATTGTGTAAGCTTGTTGTTACCATGTGAACGGGGCAAATTTAGAGAAACATTCAAATTTATTAATAATTGCAACAAAATATTTTTTAATGCATGATACAAAGTGGGCAGTTTCACGTTCACAATTAATTAGAAATATTTACCAAAGAAATATTTACGATTTTCCACGGTTCGCACATTGCGAAATTATCATGTTACTTGTTCTTTTGTTTTGATACACTGAGTCTTGAGATATTATGGCCAAGAAAGGACATGTCTCAAGGAACTTGTAGCAAATTATCCATAGGGGAGACCGGGGCAGGTTTGCAGTAGAGGTACGTTCGCAAATCGTTTTGTTCACGTATTTATAGTGAAACAAACAATTCGAGTGGAATCATAAAACATTTCGTTTATTGTAAAGATATTTATTTTCCAATTTTCATTACAATCGCGCAAATATTACAGGTAAAAGAAAGAAAAAAACAGATTTCAGGTCAGTTGAGTAAAGTTTTAGACGTCTCGAAATATTCTCTTTGCATTTTATATCGTGAATGAATGAACTGAAGTTATGCAATATTAGTTAAAATGAAGTTTGTTGAAGATATATGATACACTGTTTTGTATAATAATAGTGAACTTTATTCTTAAAATTATTAAAGTCGCAGAAATGAGTAGATGGGGTAGGTTCGCTAATTTTTCTGTATGGTAGCATTGATGAACTGGTGCAGCTACGCGCAAAGAATAGGTTAGTAAATACATTGCTCAATGCATAGTGATCATAAGATCATAGGACACAATGCAACGCGAACATATGATGTATACACATAAAAAGTATGTTACATAAAATTATTTTCTTTTGTTTTTAAATATAAATAAAATTGTAAGCACAAAGAAATATGGTATCTCATTGTATAATTGATTGGTGTAACATTCTTCAAAGTGTATAATTACATATATTTTATGTAATGCTGACCAACCCCGAGCTGCTAGCGTACCTGCCCGGGGCAGATATACCTGCTCTCTTACTACGTGTTGATATTTTTATTATTACAGACGAAACTATTCACTTTATAGCATCGTCGATAGGATCAAAATGTAGAGGAAGATTGTCTCTATCATTATTATATAGCCAATTGGAACAATTAAATATATGAAACTGTTTTATCATTGAAATTCGAAAAAATTTGCGAACCTGCCCCGGTCTCCCCTATATAATTTTAACAAATCATATTTTTTTATGAAATGTATATTATATTATTTCCACCAAGCTTCATATAAATCTGCATACTTGTGGAAGAAAAATTACTTATTTCATTTTTCCCTACATGCATGTGAGGCTCTCTTTACACGTCGCATTGACTCTTTTTTTCAATGACGTATCAAGCGAGAAAATGCACGCTATAAATTGTAGGGAAATACGTACAAATAACTGAAAAAGGTATAATTGTATAGGAAGAACTGGAGGTACAATATCAATCTAATAAACGAAATTCGATCTAAAAATATTATCTATTTCATTAACCCATTAACGCCCAAAGAAATAGAATTTTGTTTGTTATTTCAAACGTTGTAAGTAACATGAAAATCAGTTTTAAAATAGCTCCGAAGTACCTTATCCACTATTTTCGAAGTCGCTCTTTCGATTGGTGAAGTTAGAATTGCATTATAAAGTCACCAAAAAAAAATATGGCGGATTTTAAGCAAAAAAGTAACGAAAATTCTGAGTACTTCCGAGTTTGGGATTTTTTTTGAGGGACAAAATGCCATCAAAATATTTTTGGACTTCAACCAAAAGTGCACAAAATAGTTCAAGATGACGACTAAATTTCTTCCCTAGCATGAAAAATTCCTAACCTCTTTATAATAACCGGAAAGCCCTGCGCGTTATTTGAATGTTGGAAAAAGAGATTCAAATAGCTG